GTGGGTGTTATATACAAATCTGAACCGATTTTTTCCAATTTGCCAAAATTCATCCAAATCGGATCATAAATGGGACCTGTACTTTGTTAAAAAATACATGGACGGACAGACGGACGGACATTCAGAAATCGACTCAGAAAGTGATTATATGCATATTCTCAAAAAGGAACCATGATCTATTTCGATTTTTTCCCTGCAACAAACATATGCACAAAGACACAATACCCTGTACCACAGTGAGGTGAAGTGTATAAAAAGGGGGTTACATGTGGACTACCCCTAAAAGGGGCGAATATTTATAATTTTTGGGATGGAGGTTTTTTACCATATACGACTACAAAAACCAAATTACAAAGAATTTGGTTGAAAAAGGCGCTCAAGAACCCCAAAATACCGAAAATTGAGGATTCCCTTATATGGGGTCTACCCGAAAAAATGGACCTATATTTATAATTTATTGTGGAGATATTTGCTACCTAATAAGAACTCGACGTACTAAATTACAGCCAAAATACCAAAAATATGGGGGTACCCTTATATGGGGACTACCAGAAAACCTGGACCTATGTTTATAATTTTTAGTGGAGTAATTTGATACCCAATAAGAACCCAACGTACAAAATTTCAGAGAATTCAGTTATAAAACGAGCTCAAGAACCTCAAAATCCCGAAAATCGGGGGTACCCTTATATGGGGACTAGCTGAAAAAATGAACCTATATTTATAATCTTTAGTAGGGAGATTTGCTACCCCATAAGAACTCAAAGTACCAAATTTCAGCGAATTCGGTCGAAAAATGCGATCAAAACCCCCAAAATACCGAAAATTGTGGGTACCCTTATATGGGGACTATCCGAAAAAATGGACATATATTTTTAATTTTTTGTGGGAAGATTTGCTTCCCAATAAGAACTCAAAGTACCAAATTTCAGCAAATTCAGTTAAAAAACGCGCTAAATAACCTCAAAATACCGAAAATTGGGGGGTACCCTTATATGGGAGCTATGGCTTAACGTGGACCGATTTTTTCCAATTTCAATAGGGTTCGTCCTTGGGCAAATTTCATCCAAATCGGATCATAAATGCGACCTGTACTTTGTTAACAAAAATACATGGACGGATGGACAGACGCACGGACGGACAGACGGACATGCGTAAATCGACTCAGAAAGTGATTCTATGCATATTCTCAAAAGGAACCATGGGTCTATCTCGATTATTTTTGCCTGTTACAAACATATGCACAAAGACATAATACCCTGTACCACAGTGTGGTGAAGGGTATAAAAACAAATTGTTTTCACAACATGGTAGATTTGTTGGCTAATTATATTCCAGGTCAAAAATTATATATATTTGTCCATAAAAATGTTATTGCATTATATTTAAAAAAACTCAAAGCTGCATATAAATATAACTTGGCGGGTAATGTGGACCAGTATGTGTGGGTAATGAGGATCAGTAAGTTAAAGGTAGGTTGTGGATTAGTTGTGATAAATTTAAATTTATTGCACTCTTGGGTAACAATGAATGCAAAAATATATGGGTGCCTGTTTTGGAATAGCCCCCATTTAAGGGTATCACCCCATTTGCGGTATTTTGAAGATCCTTGCTTCATTATCCAACCGAGGCACCTATAATTTCTGATATCAAGTTTTCAGAGGATAGAATACCTCCTCACATATTAAATGCGTCCTTGTTTTGAACTCTTCCTCATGAAAATGTCCCACTTTTTTATAGTGGTCCACATTACCCGACATTGAATATTTTTATTTACAACTAATTATCAGCTTAAAAAATGAATAAAAATTTAAAAATAACCGATTGTAATTACAGATAAACGTGTATTTTTGTTAAAGAAAACAAGAAAACCACATAACCTCTTTATAATCGAGAAAAACAAAATGTTCGACTATTTTACAAAATCGTTCGACTATTGTGCTAAAAAACTTTCAAATCACACTTTTACAATCAGAGCTACATTTTCACCTACTAAATTTTCAACATTGCAATTATTTATTAAAAACCAAGTTTGATGTTTGTTTTCACTAATTAGGAAAACATTTATCAAGGCGGTATTGATATATTTCAAGCATTTTCTTAGATATGGGGGGTGGTCCACATTTGACGCATGGTCCACATTACCAGAAGTTACTCTATAGAAGCACTGCAGCAAAAGCAACACTTGGGTACCAAAAACCACCACCAAGAAACCCATGGTACGATCAGGAGTGTCGTAATGTTGCTGATGTGAAAAACGCAGCGGCAGGGCAACCCGGCAGACAGTAGCAACACGTAATGTGATGGAGAATTTTCGGGAGAAAAGGAGAGATGAGAAACGTGTTTTCAGAATAAAGAAGAAAGAACAAGAAAAATGTGAGCGTGAGCAAATCGGGATGTCAGAATGAAGTCCGGAAGTCCTTCGGTTTGGTCCAGGCACATCCTCCTGTAGAGATGAAGAAAGAAACCTGGTGACAGATACAGACAGCGTGTTGAGGATCTGGAAGGAGCATTTTGAAAAGCTTCTGGTATCAAATAGTGGTGGTGAAGAAGATACCCCATAACCAATAAGATATGATTGGTATAGATTGTATACCACCTATCCAAGATGAAGTCAGAGTAGCAATTAATCGTCTGAAGAACAATATAGCAGAATGAGCCGATGGATTACCATCCGAACTATTCAAGCCTGGTGGTCAGATGCTGGTCAGGAGCATGCACCAGCTGATAAGTACAATTTGGCTAGAGGAAAGCATGTCCAATGATAGGAACCTCAGCATCCTGTGTCCCGTGCACAAAAAAGGAGACAAGACCATATGTGCCAACTATAGAGGAATAAATCTCTTTCCCATCGCATATAAAGTGCTATCCAGTGTCCTGTGTGAACGACTGAAGCCTATGGTCAATGGCATAATTGGACCATACCAATGCGCCTTCAGACCCGGTCGAACTTTGCGAGCAGTAACAGCCACCTTTGAACAAATTGAGAAAGAGTCTGCCAATGTGGGTCTGGCAGTAAACTGCGAGAAGACCATGCTGATGGTATCAACGAGCAAGACGTCCAGTAGACGCGGACCAACTGTGGAACTTGAGAACTACAGCTTCGAGGTAGTTAAGGATTTTATATACCTTACTACCGCCATAAATAAAACGAATGACATCAGTTTTGAAATTCGGAGAAGGATTGTGATGGTCAACAGATGCTACTATGGTCTAAGTAAGCAGTTAGAAACAAGGCCACCTCCCGCCAGACCAAACTCACACTTTACAAGACGCTGATACTGCCCGTGCTGTTATATGGATCTGAAGCATGGGTACTTGCGCCAGCAGATGAGGCAGCTCTTGGGGTGTTTGAAAGAAAAATTCTCCGAAAGATCTACGGGCCGATCTGCGTCGACGGTGAATATCGGCATCGAATGAACCACGAGTCAGTCGTATTCAGCTGCAGCGATTACGATGGCTAGGTTATGTTGTGCGAATGAATGAGAATGCCCCAGTTCAAAAGGCATATAAAAGCGAGCCTACTGATGGTTCCCGTAGAAGGGGAAGTCCACGAATCAGATGGAAAGACCAAGTAGAAAACAACATCTTGGATCTTGGTCTTTGAAATTGGCTTTTTTAAGTTCGGCTTATGGAACAATCGTTCTGTAACAAGCCAGCTAAGTATGTAAGTAAACCAACCAGTTCATTGCTATCAGAAAATTTTAGGTTTACTGGTACACCATTTAGATTAAATCGGATACAAGTATATAGGGGAGCTATATCTAAGTCTGAACCGTTTTCAACAAAACATAACACACTTGATCCTTTCTCGTTTAATTAAGAATATTTTATCGTTCGTTAACACAAGAATATTTTGTATGTCCTGGAGTCCTATAGAAGTACATGGACTGGAATACTCCAGATCGGAACACCAGGACATATAATCGTAATATATTGTATGCAGCCTTCATATTGAGGAAGCAATTTAAAGACACAGAGTTATGTAAAATAACTTCCTCAAAAAACTAGAATGGTTTTGGTACAACTAAGATGTGAATGTTGACCTAGTAGAAATAAGTAGGAAACTGTGTCATCTTTTTTTGGTAATTTAATTTTGGTATTCCTCCAAATATTTGTCTCAGTTCACCACAGTGTGCTTGATGTAATCCAAAGAACAAAAATTTCATGGTATTCCTTACGCAATTTTGGGAAGAAATCTTGACGTTTCGTTCAATTATGTTGCCTTTTTAATATTTGACAGATGAAGCCACTATCAACAGAGTTGCTTTTTTGTTATTCACCTGATGTTATCGTACCTTGTTCTATTGTACCATGGTGTTTACATAAAACTAAATTCAATAAATCACGTCGGTATATTATTTTATCCTCTACTTACCAAAAATGTGCTAATAACAACCACTTTAAAAACAATCCCATTATTTGATTAAAACATCAAAGGAATTTTTTATTTGAATTATAATTTTTTTTTTTTATTTTAAATTCAGTCTTTAAATATAAGAACATATACATATATATAATAACATAAAAAATAAATACATACATATAATAATTCGTTACTTTTCCTGGCATTTTCACAAATCAGTATACAATGCAAAAGTATAATGAATAAAATGCCTAAGAAAAGTGAAAATCGTTTGTACATTATGTACAGTTTTTGTTTGTTTGGTTTTTTTCTTCTAGATTATATCCTTATAAAAATGATAGTATGTATGCACGACTAAAAAACAAAGTATTTAGTTTAAACATCTTTATAATAATACTAAATTTATATACAAAATACAATACAAGACATACATACAACATTTATAAATGGAATAAATAACACTAAAAGCAGGAACATTGCGTTACAATTTATAATAATAGTATGGCATTTAATTTAAGCTAAATCTACAAAGCATATTAATAATATAAACGTAGTATTATAATACAATTTAATAATGAACTAGGTACCCGTAGCACTTGTAGCAGGACAAATAAACGTATGTTGAAATACGTAGAAGTTAATCATCAGCTGATTACTTGTAGACTCCAAACGAGTATCCATATGACAGCTGTCAATTCCCAAAGTCCCATGGGTAGGCTAAAAATATATTGCACACAGAGAGAGAGGGATAACGTTTTAGACAAATACAATTTTTGGCAAAGACAGGGACACTTATATATGTAGACAGTGGATAAATTAAATAAACTATGTTATGTTCTAACTACAAATAAATCTACAAAGTGTTTTTATATGGCTTATACCATGGCTACAAATTGAGATAAAAAATTTCATGCGTATTGTTAGCTAAGAAAAAACTATAAATTAAGAACAAACCAATAAAAGCAACATTCAAACAAATAATGCAATAATTTATAATGGTATACATGCATTTATCTTGGAAATAAAGGGATAAAGATAATTGAATAGAATATTGATAAATTGAACAGATTAAATATTATAATTTCGATATAATTATTTTATATTTTGGGCATAAGACATTTGGACATGAAACATTTTAGAAAGAGGTGGTTTAAAGTTTGGGTAATTATTTTATTGTCTGATGATTTACTTTAGGCCAAAAACAAATATCAGGATATCTAACATCCTCAGGTTAGCAAATTTGTTAACCGCCAGAGTAACATTTTCATCATTATTATAATACATAAAAAAGTGCTGCCAAGTTTTAATTTTACTTAAAAATATAACTGTGCCATGGAAAATACAGACATTTGTGACAAGGTTCGTGACATTATTATGAAACACATAAAAAGCAAGCAGGGAGTATCTTTTGGTGGACATAATGCATACATATATAGATTTTAGTTACAAACAGGACATATAGGACATTTAAACAGAAATTCATATGCTATTGAGAAACATTTAAAATTGTGCAATATATTTACTAAAAATAAATATACATGATTGCCTTACATACAATAGTTATGAATACATACAGTTTGTCTTATACATACAACAGGAACGGATTTATATTATTCTGTAAAAATTTTAAAACTTCTTAGGTATATTTTATTATCCTTCACCTAAATATTGATACATCAAATATCAATATTGAAATTAATTTCAATTTTAAAATTGTTTTATATTGTGTGTACCCCCCATAAAGTCAGCTGATTGCAAGAAATTTGCCATTCGAAGTGCGTCTTTATTGAAGAAAGTCGAAGAATGATTTTATAAATGGGTAGAATTGTTTTGTGTACTAAAATGTACTCTAAATCGATATTGTCCAATTTGTCAGATTTATTTCATGAAGATTTACTTTTGTATAAAGCGAATAACCAAATTGAGAAATATGAACGCAAAATTTATAAAAACCTTCAATATCATTAAATTTTAATTATTTCTCATTTTTTAAGATAATAACTGTCAGATTATTTTTTGTTTACATCGTGTTCTTTCTAAAATTCTCCATTATAATCAAATTAATAAGTCAAATTCGATCAATCAGCTGATGTTTGTTTACATATGACGGCACTAAATCATATCAGCTGACTGTCACTCGTATCATCTTTAATCAAACTAAATTATTAGAATTTGTAAAAATGGATACATATCATACATATTTTGACACTTCCCATATGTGTTCAATGGAGAATTTTATTTTCCTCGCTTTAAAGTACGCTTAGATTTTCGAAATGCACTCGATCTCAAATGTCAATTTCATAGCGTATACGTCAAAAATAATCCAGTGGATTTGTGAGCAGGGTTAATGTGACGTAAAAACTATGAAATTAGCATTTGAAATCGAATTAGAATAAGAGAACAATCAGAATAAAAAAATATATTGTGGTGTAATCACGGCCTATTTTAAACTTATTTCCAATGGCAATGGAATTCAAACCGCCCTAACAAAGTCCTCATTTCATTTCCCCCATTACGATAAATTAAAAAATGCTTTTTCATTTTATATTTTTTGTGTATATTTTTTTATGATTTTTATTCATTTTTTTTAGTTTTGTTGTGATTGTTAATGATTTTCATTGTTATTCTTGCAATTGACACAAAATATCAGAAAATCTTTCGTTTTTTTTTTTCAAATATATGCTAATACATATATAAGGGTGAGTGTGTGTGGTGTATTGTGTGTCGTACTAAAATTAACATTTATAGGTAGTTCTTGAGCTGTCTACAAATCTAGAGAAAAAAATTTACAAAATTTATATATAAAATAGGAAAAAAAATAAAACTTAAAATAAAAACATATTTTGTTTTTGAGAAAACTTCATTACAAATGGATGTGTGTGTGAACTTACAACAAAATGATTTTTATTTTCTGTTTGTTTGTATTTTTTTTAAATATAAATAATTAAAAAAATAATCATAATAACTAATATAACACATTACATTACATTATTGCATTGTTGTTAGTATAACTAAAAATATTGTGTTTATTTATTTATCTCAAAAATTGTTAAGTAGTCTGTCTGTTTGTCAATTTTCAGTATTACGTTTTCTACGGATTGTATTTTACAACCAAAAGGAAAAAATAAAAAAAAAAACATATAATTAAAAAAATAATAATAAAAATTTTGAAAATATATTTTATTTTTGAAAGGCCTTGTTTTGGCATTTTATTTCATTTTCTAGTATTTGTTTTGTATAATTAATGGCGTGTTGCTTCAGGTTTTATTTTTTGTTTTCGTATTAGAAATTACTAATATTCTTATTGAGAGGCAGCGAGGTTTTCATTTTTGTTCAATTTTCATTTTTCTTCTTCTTCTTGTTTTCGTTTATGAGCTTTTCTTTTCGTGTGAAAAATAAATTGCATTGGACATATTCTATCGTTTTTGTTTTAAATATTTGTTTATTTATGTTTATTTTTTAATTAATGTTTAACATAATATTTACAATATGGCATTGAGTACATTAGTTTATTCTTAACTATTTCCTTTTGTGTTATTTTCAATTGTTTATTTGTAATTATTTTTAGTTATATTGTTTGTATATATATTTTTTAAATACTTTGCAAGTTTTGTAGTTGTGATGCTAAGACATGAAAGTGTATAAGTGTGTGTATTTTGTGAAAAGGAATATATTAAGGATTATCGTTGAGTGTTTTGGGAAAAGGATTTTTTTTGAATTTAGGTGATTAATAAGTTACTATATATATTGTGTGCAGCTTCGAGCTGTTCGAGCTGTATCAGATTCGAGCTTCAATATTGGAATCATTGGAAAATAATTGTGAAATTAATTTGATTTGAAAACAAATCTATTTTCGGGGGAATAGCTGCAGAATAATATTCAATGCAATTTCTGTCACTGTAAAAGTTATGCCAAGTTCACAATAAATTTCACCGACAATGCTCTGTTAACACTCATACCACTTTAAATTGCCTAAGTTGTAATTAATTAAAATAAAAAATAATAACAAGGAATTTTCTCGATTTTTTTCTGTATACATTATAAAAGATTTATAATTAAGAATTAATTAATTTTACTTTTTTTTACTTTGTCAATCGTTAATTTGAAAATATTATTTTTTTATTATCCAATCATTAATTTTACACGATAAATTGCTATTTACTCAAAAGTGCACAAAATTTTTTTTCTAAGATAGAGATCAGCTGTGCTGCCAAGTGCTGCCAAGTTAATTTGAAAATATTATTTTTTTATTATCCAATCATGGCCTGTCTTCGCATTCGATAAATTGCTATTTACTCAAAAGTGCACAAAATTTTTTTTCTAAGATAGAGATCAGCTGTTCTGAATATTGAACAGCTGATCAGGGAAACCAAATCATTTAACAACTGGAATTCTAACTCGGCCCAGCCGATTACAATTTTAACATTATTATGCATAGTTTAATGTGTGGCCTTTCATAAATATATAAAATATTTGGAGCAAAACATCAAACACAAGGTGTGCCTTTTAATATATTTTCGTAATAATACGTTTACATTGCAACGGATTTCGTTAACCCAGTAGATTTAAATTATCAATTCCATTGTATATATGCCAAATAAATCCGCATAAAGTAGGTTAACACGGTAAAAAGTTCTAATGTAAACGCCGTTTAATCCAATTTTGATATATTGCTGAGGTTACTGGAGAAAAACGTTCCAATAATATTAGGTTTGTTCAATCAGCTGTTTTAGAATAACCTGTGCAGAATAATATAAGATTTAAACACAATGTTTTTTATTCTGCTATAACGTTACACAAGAGGAAACATCTTTCTCTGAATCTCAAAATAGCTTAAAAATAAAATGGACACAAATGTTTTTTGAATTACTTTAGGAAATTTGGTAGCATTTTTAGAGAGAGTTGCAATTTATTCGCCAAAATCGATCAGCTATTTTTACCGATTATATTTTTAACTTTTCCAATTCGAAAAAGAATATTTTATCTTCATAAACACACTTTTAAGTAAGTAGGCAATGAATACAACCGAAAATCGATTACACAGGCAGACTACGTATATATCCATATAGTTACTCATATTTATACGTAACGTAGACGTAACACACCTTCAATATTGTTTAGATCACTCCAAATGGCACGGCTTCCGATATCCATCAGGTTTTTTTTTTGCGCAATATCCATCTCCAAGTTCATAATTTTCAGCAGCAGATTTTCCGAACACTTTACTAAATATTTGTTTTATTTTTTCCAATAACAGACAAAAAAGGCAATGCAATGGTATGAATATTGGCAAGCAGATTGATTAAATGGTACCGCGTTAACCCTGGTTGTGTGGAGGTGGTACGTATAATAACCATAACCCCTTTGAATGACTTTGACTTTAAAATGGCTTAAAAGGAAAATGTCGGATATGAGGGGAGGATCAGGGAAACGAGCATGGGTAATGAAAGGTGGTGTTGGTGATGGCCATGAATGTCTTGTGTGCATTGTTGTATGATATTGTGTTAGTGTGTGAAACATGTATGGCTTCTTGCAAAATTTACACAGATTTGTTTATATATATCATTTTTTATATATATTTTATATCAATATTTTTTTTCTAAATGCCTTATTAACAATTATACACACAGAGTACAGAGAAGATGTATTGCATCGTCTTCAACATACATACATTTCCATTTTTTTCTTTTTGTTTCTTAAATATATTTATATTTTATGTATATTTAACTTTGTACACTTTTTTCAATTTTTATTTTTTTTGTTTTGTTTTCTTAAAATATTTCATTGCATAACATTAACAATTATTTACACAACAAATGAGTTTTGTTTACGCTTGTTTTTGTCTGACAATTTCCTAATAATTTCGAATCGAAAAATGCAACTCTGAATTTGAAATAAAAATTATACGGAAAATCAAAAAAACTACAAAAAATCAAATGAACCAAAAAAAAAAGAAAAACTAAAATTCTGACAAACCGAAAAATATGTTAACAATTAAAGAATTAAAAAAAAAAACAAATTAGGAACGAAAGATTTTGTTTTAAAGCCAAATTCATACAAAATTAAAAATTAAATGAAATCTAATTTAAATTTTTGTTTTTTGTTGTTGTTGTTTTTTTACATTAAATTATAAAATAAATAAATTACTTTACGTATTATTATTAAGTATTAGATAAATAAACAAAACGAAACGAAAAAAAATAAAATAAAAAAATAACTAAATAATATGAGGAAATTTATTATAAATTAATTGTTTTGTGTATACATATGTATATGTAGTAGTAAGTAGTAGGTGGTAATAATAATAAGGAGGATGTTAAACTCACACATCAAGCTGGTCGTAATACAGGAAATCATCTGCACCCCCTGCTATTGGCGGATTGGCAATATCCGCCTCAGCATGGGGCATGTGACTGCTGCTCGAAACAAATGAATCATCTTCATAGCTGGCGTCTTCTTCACCGTCCGCCGTATAGCCATCATCCTCGTCTTCGTTGTCATCCACCGCCGCCGATGTGTCTTCGGATGACACTTCCATGGACTCTTCCATGGAATTGGAGTATCTTACGTTGCGTTGTTCACGATCGCCACGATCACTGGTGCTTTCGGCATGCGGATCGTAGGTATCGAAGAGTGTGGATGAAGGCATCAGTGATGAGGTTTCCCAAAAGCTTGAATCAAGCGTTGAGGTAGAGGGGCTTGTCGAGGTTCTTTCGGTTGTCGTTGTGGTAGTTTTTTGCTGCTGTTGTTGTTTTTTGTTTTTGCCATTGGCACCAGGGCCGCCACCACCAGCACCTCCACCCCGTTTGGGATTCTTTTGTTTCTTCTTTTGACCACCGCCGCCGCCATTGCCACCATTTTGTTTAGCTGGCTGGCGACCACCCGCTGCTGGACCTGGACCCAGGCCACTACTTAGCTTTTTCCCTCTTCTGTTGTTGGGGCCCAGGCCATCGGTGCCGAGGCCGTTTTTGTTGCGACCCTCGCCAGCCGGACGTTTGTTGTTCTTGGCGCCCTGCTTCTTGGGGCCCTTCTTCTTGCACATGGGCGGCAATACGATATCTGTGATACCCTCCTGCTGTTGTTGCAACATTAGTTCCCTGCACCTTTTCTGTTTGCCTGGTTTCTGCAATGCCTGTGGCCTACGCTGGCAATTGTGCTCTTCCTCATTTTCATAGGGTCGACATTTGCGTAACTTCTTCCCTCGACCCTTCGGACTACCATTACTACTACCATTTGTTGTTGCTGTCGCCGATGTTGTTTTGCTATTACTATTACTACTGCTATTGCTAATATGGCCATTATTTTGACTATTGCTAATACTACTCTGGCTATTGTTGTTGTTGCTACTACTACTACGCTGATTTGTTTCTGGTTTGTTGTTGTTGCTATTGCTATTATTACTATTTCTACCACTTGAACTAGAGCTATTGCTTAATTTAGTTTTATCATTGGCAGCAGGAACGTTGTTCAATAATTGGCCACTATTGCTATTGCCTAGACTAGTACTACTACTGCTATTTAAATTATGCTTATTGTTTTTATTGCTATTACTATTACTACTATTAGCTGTGTTATGACTATTGCTATTACTATTGCTACTACTACTGTTTGGATTGCACTTCGGATGTGCTTTAAAGTTTTTGCTATCGATCAGTTCGATCAATGGTTTGCCAGTATCACAGAGTTGACGTATGCCATGTTTAATGCGATTCGCCCCGAAATTCTTTGCAATCAGCTGTTCGACACGTTCTTGCGGCACCGATTCGGTAATGGCATTCGTATAGGTCGCCAGTTTGCCCAGCGAACGGGTGGGTGGTATTTGCAGTTTTCTCGGTTCACCATGGCGATTCAATGCCAAATAGTATTTTCGCCTTGAATTCGAGTTGTAAGTCGACGAATAGGTGTTGTAGTTGTGCTGTTCCATGTTTTCATTGAAGACACAGTCGTCGGTGAACTCTTTCTGTAACGAGAAACTATAGTAAGTTATTTGGTTATTTTTTAATTTTTTTTTTGTTTAGTGTTAAACAAAAAAAGCTCAACGAAGGTCAACGACTAAACAAAAAAGTAATAATAATAATAAGGAAACGGTAATTGGGGGCATTTGGTTAGTATTAAAACCGAAAGAAACAATTCAAAATAGAATCTGATTGAAAATGTCAAAGAAAAATTTAATAATATTTCGATGTTCAGAAGTCTATGATTTTTCTTTCAAAATCAATCCATCAATTCCATACCACTAAGCCTACGTCTTCAATGAAGCATCAAAATGCTAGTTCATATTAACAGGGTGATTCAAATAAATATATTGTATAATTAATATGTGTTTGTATGAGTGCCCCTGTTTTATGTTATTAAATTATAGAAAATAACATTGTGATCAAGCTTTTATCCAATGTTCTACACGTTCTTGGATTCAACAATTAGAACTCCATATAATAGAAATTTGTTCAGTGAGAATTTAAAATGTTGGAGAGATATAAATACAAACGCGATGATGACCTTTATTTTCTGTATGTGTGACCCTGTTTCTCAAACATTGTGATAAATAAAAGTGTGGCCAAGTTCCTCATCTAAATTAAAGCATAACCACCCAGTAAATGATATCAAATTCAAATAAGATTGGATGCAAATAATTCACCTTAATTCTTTCAAAATTTAAAAACAAAAAAAACTGTATCGCAAACTAAATATATTTTTAGAAACTCATTAGATAAATTGTTTTGGTATTTTTGTTGTTTCATTTTCAGCTAACGAAGATACAATAACAACAGCCATAGAAAACAAATAGGGGAGAAAGGAAGTAAATATAGATTGGTTTTGTTTTTTAATGAACCAATTCTGTCGTCGCATGTCACATCATTTGGTGTACCAAAAAATGAAAAAAAAATAAATAAAAAAACAGTCAAAGAAAATACAGATTTTTTTTGGCAAAATTTCACACTCCCCGAAAAAGTATACGCAACGCAAGTCAAATGAAATAAAAACAAACAAAAATCAATCGACTCTTGACGATTGACTAACTGACTAATGTGACAAAATTTAGATTTCGAATATACAGACACAGTCAATGTTGATTATTGACACAAAAATGACATAAAATAATAAATCATTTCGTTGTTTATTTTCAAATGGTGTCTGAGGAATTTGATTTTTTTCAATTTCTCGTTTTGTTTCTGCATTTGATTTTTCTAAAAGTAAAAGTTTACGCAAATTCTGAAATATCAGCTGATATTTGTATTGGCACCACATTTACAATGGCAACACCTGTTCTCATCAACATATTGTAATTTAATAGAACATCTTTTATTTGATTTAAAAATAAATATCATACGACAAATCAATTTGCTATGCCAAATTTGTCCCGATGGCATTGCAAATTAATGCGTATGCCAATTCGAAAACGTATAATTATTGAGTTGATTTTCTTTTTTTCGTACGTCAATATTGAATATTAATTTTGCGGAAGTAATTCAATAAGATAATGTTTATTTCTTAACTTAATTTTAGGTATTCGTCCAGACAAATTATCATGGCGCCCAATTAAATAGTTTCTGGGTTTACTTTTTGTATTATTTTTATAATCACGAAACTATGACTACATGTCAAACGAATATTGTAAATGTAATTAAAATGCTGGTCAACTTTAGATATTGCTAGGAGTAAATCCTTACCCTTTGGCGATTAATTTAACCAATATGAGAAAATGTTGTCCACTTCATTTGAATTAGCAAGGAATCAAGAAAACAAACCCTGGTCAACGTTAAGCTACGCTTTGTTTCTATGCCGTCAATATCCAATCCAATTTGTTTTTACAAGATAACCCTTGGTCAGAGCGAAAGAAATAAAATAATCCCACCAAAATCTATGTCAATTGTTAAAGACAAAACAAAACTTTTTTTCATACAAATCATTTAAGCGATAGCATCTATTTTCGAATAATGTCATTTTGGCCATTGCTGTGTAGCACAATCGAAAAAAATCATACCACCACCAACAGAAAAAAAAAACAAAATCGCCCCAAACAAACAAAACTGCACTTTTCAATTGGCTAATTGCCCAATAATTTTTTACTGTTTGCATTTTTCCTACTTTTGAGTACCATTTTTTGTATTTCTTTCAATATCTTGATTTTCCCCTTAAATGCAACAGAAATTTAGCATTAGGTGGATAATATTATCCGATAACTATTATCGTTTGGTTTTTCTTGGCAACAATGCGGAATACATTTGAAAAAAATAATAAATATTTTTATGGAGACAAAATTTAGACAAAAAAAATTGACATGCATCTCATTAAATTGTGCCAGTAGAATCATATCTTAATAGGTTTACACATTTACGATAAAACAAAATAAAAACAAAACGTTTTATGTCGTGTTGAATGAAATGTGACATAAATTTGCAGTGATGACTAAGTAAGAAAATTGCAAAATGTAGTAACAAAAAGTAATAATGGTAAGTACGTTTGGCTATTTTCTGTCCAAATATGTATTGGCTTAGGTCATGAGCATTTTATTCTGCAAATTTCATATTTATTTCAGTTGCTATTGATATTAAATAATAATAATACACCGCTTGGTTTGAAAATAAAATTAATATCGATTAAAATTGACTATGAGAATTTTAACAATATTCCGAAGATCAGAAAGTATATGAGGTTTGTTTCAATATCCATGCCAGACGGCATACGTCATTACTGAAGCAGCTACATGTATTATCATATGTGTAGGGTGCTTCAAATAAAATTATTTGATCATAAATATATGTTTATATGAGTCCCCCTGTTAATTGGTGTGTTTTATTAATATATTTTAGATGTATTTGAAAATTTATATTATAACATTAGAATGATTATAAAAAGACGAAAAACAAATACATATTCATTTACATACAGTATTGAATGATTTAGATGGCAGACAGCTGATGTTTGTTTACAAAACATATGAAAGAGACATAGAAATAATTAAACAAGAAAGGTAATGTGGATTAATGTGCAATTGTTCGAAAAAAAGTCATTTTCGTATCTGCCTCAAAATGGTATCGGGATAAAAATTAAAAAGCAAGAAGATTTAATTTCGTATCGTAAACCTCGTCCTTTGCGGGAAAATAAACCTCTGGTTATAATGCACAAAATTACCCATTAAAATTCATATTTCAAACAAATAATTATTTTTTTTTACAAAACACATTTAATGTACATGTGACATAATTCTACAAAATTTGCCAGTCATATGCACACGTTTTTATGTAAGAGTTGATTTTGATTAGAATAAATACAGGGTGACACAAGTAAAATTTTAAATGAAATATTGGTTTCATGTGACATAAAATCTCTCATTTAATAAATGAAATACAATAGAATATGATTCAAAAGGCAAATTTACAGCATTACATTATCTTAATATTCTTTATAAATTAAATCTATGGTTTCAAAATTTTTGTAAGTCGTTACCATTTAGAGAAGTAATATCTCGTTTTTTGATTTTGGTACACAAAAGCAGGGTTGAATTTTAAATTATCTCGATTGAGCATAGAATTTCGGGCAAATCGAAATATTGTGTGGATTTAATTTTAATGATTTTTAATGTACAGTTTTAGCATAATTCTAATAAATTTGCCAGTAATATGCACACGTCTTTATCAAATAGTTAGTATTGGTTAGAATAAATACAGGGTGACTCAAGTGAAAAAAATAAGTGAAATATATTTCATATCTCATTAAATCTTCCACGTAACTCTTATTTAAATAAACTAGAAATTAATGAATTACTGACGGCAATCTGTTGATTTTTCCCCCCATTTTCTTGCGATTAATTCAAACTATAAAGAATTTTGACAGCTAGTGGGATTATCAGCTGACCTTACTGGTTGATCCTATCAACATCCTCCAATATTCCCAAAATAAATGTAAAAATGTTTCTAATACGAAAAACGCCTAATTAAACATCACTGGCAATTTCATTATATTAACCATAGCAAATAAACCAAATGTTACAAAAAAGAAGTTTGAGGTCAAATCATCAAAATTGTCAACAACTTTCCATCATCATTGTTTTATTATATAGACTACAATTCCCAGTGAACTCCATTTCCAACTAGTTCCACACAGAAAAAGCACACAAACGCTACGAAAATCTGTAACTAAACATTTGATGAAAATGAAATCATCTTACTCCAGGGAACAATTTGAATTAAATTATCCTACGCAAGAAAATCTAAACTGAAGTTTTTATGGAGAAGGCAATTTTTTAATTTAACGCTTGGCTGCCACAAAAATTAGTTGCAGTTTATAGCAAATTATGAAGCAGAAAAAAGGAAGAAGAAATACACAACTTCTGTGTAAATAAATGAAAATCACCCTGGACAAATAAAGTGGGGAAAAATATTTATTTTTTTCCACCCGTTTTAAAAATAGACCGCGAAGACAAACTAGACGAGCATGACAGCAAATGGTACTAAATACGACACATTTAGGGTAAGATGTGGTGGCATTATTAAAAAATAAAAACAAAACACAATGGAAGATTGTTCTCCCTCTTCTTGTAGGGTAGGCTAAGGCTGCATATGGCAATGCTGCCCGCCGTTTGGGAGTAAACCATTAAAGGCAATTCTGGCGAGCAGTGAGAAAGAGAGAACGACCACGTGAAATATTTTTTTGCTGACAGTTTTATATGTCAAATCAATGTTGACAACTTTATTGTTCATAAAGTATGTAATGCGGCTGGAGAAGAAAAGCCAAAGGCACACACACAAAAGTAATCTACAAATGGCCCAGAATCCCATACTAATTCCAATCTCCTTTCAACCCCTCGGTTCCAAGTAATCATCAGCCACAAGAAAAAACGGACATTATATTTAGCAAAACTATTTTAATTTCCAAGAATGTAAATTTATGTGCAACTTTTTTTCTTCTCTGTCTCACTGATTATGTTGTTAATGTTCTCTACAAAATAGTTCTTCTGTCTGTCAACCATTCACGCCGTTGTTGTTGTTGTGTGTTATGCTAAAAATTGTTGTTTAGGGAACATTTATGACAGCTCCGCAAACTGACATTATTTACACATATTTTAATGTGAAACCAAGCATTTCAAAATGTGGGCCTCTTTGGCGTTTTTATTGCAAGAATTGCATTAATTTTACAAAAAAAAAAAAAAAAATGAGTTTAATTAGATTTTTTGCTTTCTAGTGTTGGAGAAAAGTTAAATCATTGAGTCATAACAACAAATCCGGCTATAGCGCCCCTGCTATTTTTTGCTGTACAGTTTCATTTTTTATAGTATAGAGGTGAAATAGCTTGTGGCCCAATGTGGCAATTTGTCTGGGGGCTCTATTTTCCTTCAGTCGAGACATAACAACAATTTTAATTGACTGTCAAAGAAATTGGTTCAATGTTGTTAATTGTTTGTGATTTTTTGAATTGCAATGAACTTGGAAGTGATCACAAACAATGCAAATTGTAGACAGTGACAAAATAAATGGCTATGGTGACTCAATATAAGTGTTTTTTCAAATAACATTGATAGTTTTTATACATTTAATGGGAAGTTAAAAAAACGGGGAAACATAATGAACTCTTTGAAATGGGGCTTAATTTTGTTTTTTTTTATATTTGAATACATATCATTACGTTTTGTTCTAAATGTCCATTGTATCCAGTGCGGTAATCTACTTTCATGTCTAAACAGATTTTTGAAATTATTATCTTAACAGAAAAATCTGCTTTAAACACAACGATTGCTTGCCTGCTTGTGCAACAATTGACAAGGGCATTTCTTTCATTTTTTTTTTGTTTACAATGCCTGGTTTGCCGCTCTCATTGTTATGTGCCGATTTCCCTACCCTCAAGTACTACACCTGTCACAAATGTCACATAAATATCAATAGTTTATTGGCTGCTCACACCTATTTTGACATCATCGATGTTACACTGCTGATCATCATGCAGACATGCATGCTGTTATTGGTTCTCAGCTTGTATTTCTCTCTTCAATGTCTTTTTAAACACGATGGCGTCTTAGATATGAAAAGATTTTGTGTGATAATGTGCAGTTTTTGTTTATTATCTTTTATCAAGGCTAAATAGGCTACCATTTAAAAAAAAGGATCACACACATTCTTGAGTTGGATAATGTGACAGAAATGGAGCAGAAGGTGGCACAGATTCAAGGTAAATGGTTGATTACAAAAAAAAAAAAAAAAACATTGTTTAATTGGGCGCCATTGTATGAAAAAGTGAATATTTTAAAAAAGGGTAAATCTGAGGTGAAATTTGTAATAAAATATTATCCTGAAACAACACCGATCGAGGTAAATGTTGTACTAAAAAAGAATAACCACAAACAATTGGGCACCAAAGAGAAAATGTTAAATAGGCTACCATTTAAAAAGGCTCACAAAAATTCTCGAGGATAAAGTGACGAAAATGGAGCGGAAGGTGGTACAGATTCAAGGTAAATGATTGGTTACAAAAAAAAAACAATGTTTAATTGGGCGCAATCGTGTGGAAAAGAAAATAGTGTTAACAAGGACAAATCTGAGGCGAATTTAAAAATAACTACACAGATTCTCGTGGATAAAGTGACAGAAATTGTGGAGAAGGTGGTACAGATTCAAGGTAAATGGCTGGTTAAAAAAAAACAGAATTTTTAATTGGGCGCCATCTTATGGAAAAATAAATAGCTTTAACAAGTATAAATCTGAGGTGAAATTCTACTATTTCCCATATTAAAAGCTCACTTTGAAAAAATACTGAAAATAAATGTTGTACCAAAAAAGAGAAACCACGAACAATTGGGCGCCAAAGTTTGGAAGAGAAATTTTTTTGAAAGGGACAAATCCGGTTGTTTTTTTTTATAGTTTGCCTTTAATATTTCAGTCATTGAATATTTTCACTAGCTAGTAGCAAATATACACATCCAAAATTTTCCAACAGCTGCACTGCACTTCAAATGTGAAAAGGGATATATTTATTACAACAACTAAAAACCGCAACATAACTATTAGTTCATATATTTCCAAAACTAGCAACTAAATACTAATAAATGCATTATAAATAATCTAATAAATATATCAAATAGTCTTTTGTTAAAAAACCGTGATTTGGGATGAAATTAAAATGTATCTGTTTAAAAAAAAAATATTTCAGGTAATTCGAAAATGTCATATTAAAAGATCTAAAAGAGACGAAAAATTGGAACACGTTCTATTGTGTTTCAATTTTTTTCTTTTGGATAAGGGACATTTTTAGACAATAAATTGTATTTATTTTTTACCAAAAAAACCATACTCATTTTACACACAAAGGATACAACCCTCAAGTGGTGTATTTGTTAAACAATAATTACACACACTTACTACAAAAGGGTATCCTTGAAACCAAATGATCATAATACGTAACGCTTATAGTTGTTTTTTTTTATGGGTGGAGTGTCAAATAATGTCCTTGTGAAAATTTTCCCTTTTCATTTCGGTTTTTGGGTGTCCTTTTGAAAATTGGCAGTGGTGATAAGTAATGTCATTGTCGTTTCCACATTTCAAAGGACATTCCCCGCCATACCCTTGTCAATTGTATGTTTTTTTTATGTTACCAGGGGGTTGAACGCCGCCGCATTGTATTAACATGTTTTGGGAAAAACAAATACTTAACATTTGCCGAGAAAAAAAAAACAAAATATCCTGTGGTGAGAGAGAGTACTCTAGGCGGAAAATATACCTTCCTCCTCCTATTGAAAACACTTGTTATGATTGCCCAAGAAATAAAATTATTTGCACTTTGTGTAACCGAAAGGCGCCAATTATTGTTCCTCACTTTTTGGAAATGTGTAAATGTTCGACAATCGATAAGCGTTTTATTGCTTTTCATCATCAAACACGATGCTGTTAATTAATATTGAACTAAAAGCCATTTACTATGGTTTTCATAAATTTTCATTATGTGTCACAGAACGAACGAACGAACGGACTATTATGAGGGATATTCTGAGAACCACATAAATGGCCACAATAGACCGCCCATGGATTTATCTTTACCCTTTCTGGGTTTTATTTTTCTTGTTCGTGTTGTGGTCGTGGTCTTCGGTGATCCCGATCCCTCCAAAATACCTCACACAACGTTGTACATAAACATAAATATTTGGAACAATCTCGGCAATTACCATTGAAAAATAAGAATACATAATTAATGTACCGAACCCATGCCATCATCATCATCATCGTCACTGCCAGCCACTATCGCCCCATTATCCTGTCAAGGTGATAGGGCTTTTCGGAAACGCTTAACCATTGAAAATATATGTGAACATATTTTCAAAACAAAGCCAGACGACAGGCGTCAAAATTATTTCAAATCGTTTTGTGGTGTGCCCATGGAACCAAATGCATTATGAAAATATTTGTGGTCATAGCTTATAGAGAGGCCGTTTTTTTGTCGTGGTTCAGATTAGCTGGTTGGTTATTCATAACCTAACCCAAGCACACACACTCGCACGCTAACAATTGGTCTATTGACAATCATATTCTGATTAAGACCTGTTCCCGACTTAATAAGAATTTTATTGTATTGTATCTTCTTCTTCTTCTTGAAGGTTGAGAGGCAGCAGCAGCAACAAAGTGCACCGGTGGCGCCACATTGCATGCGTTCGATCAACGTGTTATCTAACGTGTTTCAATTTGTTTCTACTCTTCCCAAATTAAAATAGAAAGTAAAAGAGAAAAACATCACAATGTTTGTTTTTTGGTGGTCGCGATAAGATTTCAACCTCGTTTTCCTCATCCGGGGCAATTGGTTTTTAATTAAGTTGTGGTTAAAAAAATATCTGTCAAATTTTTTTTAAAGAAAATTTAAAAGATTTTGGCTTTAAGAGGCTTATGTGATGACCATTTGGGTTGATTGAAGAACGGCCGATATATTAAAAGGCCTAATAAAGATGAAAATTAGTTTTTTTGTTTTGAGACTGAATTTTTCTAATATGATGAGCATGTTCGAAAGGAATTATTCATTATATTTGATATGATGTGATTTGATTTTTTATGGAATTGAAATTTTTTGAAAGATCAAAAGCCAATTTTTCGGAAACTTTATTTTTATAACTGAGGATTAGGATTTGTGGGAAAGAAACAAAAGGGAATTCTTTTAATATTTGACATTTAGTGGTTATAATAAATAAATTAAGTTAATATAGTTTTTAATAGAAAAAATAAAAATTATTATCCAGATAGTATTTGTAGAAAGAGACTGTGTACTTACCGAGCCATAAACAGCACCGCATGGATCCATGCATAAATAAAGGCAAGTGGCAACGCCTTGAACTTTAATACGCCCCACGTCGACAGTAGAACGTTGTAGTATTGCTGGAAAAAATAAGAAAAATAATATTAAAGCAAATTAATTTTAATTTTTTGATTTGGTTTTGTTTAAAAATTTTAAAATATTTTTAATCAATTTCTCCGACATATCGAAACATTTTTTAGTTTAACATGTGCTCCATTCTATCTTTGCAAAAATTAAGCTAGGTCATAGCCTATTAATAACATCAACCAGGGAGACCAGTTGGATATCAGCTGTTTGCTGGCAAACGCTATTACTGTGAATTGACTTCCATTTTAAAAACGTAAACAAAGTTCAAATTTTTGACATTAGACTTGAAAAAACACAACTGACTTTAGCTAGATGGGTGAGCTTATTAGTAGATCATGAGCTAGGTCGACCAGAAAGCTATCGAAATCGGGAAACAGCTGTTGTTTCCCAAGTCAAATGTCAAATGAAGTCTATTCACAATAAACATAATTTGACAGCAAGCTTGAGAAGCATCTGATACAGCTGATCTTCGTGTGTGGCATTATTAATAGATTTTGAATTAAGTACAATAATACAATAATTAATAATAAAATATATCTAAACTTGAACTTCAGTAGGCCGAGAACATGACACTCTTCTTTTTTTCTTATTTTAGAAACACCTGAAAACAAATAACCAGATTTCCATTATTCGAAGAACAGCTGATGGAAAATCACCACATGCTCAATTTCAATTTCAGAGACACATAAACCCATTTTAAAATATGCGGCCGCTAAAAAATAAAAAACCGTGAGCAATATGTATTTTTTATGATCTGCAGCAGCATATGACAAAGTCCAAAGTAAAATGTATATTGTCAAGTGTGTGTTGTGTGCGCCCGTCTTTGTCTGTCGTGCGTTTTGTTGCCGAACCGGAGACATGAGACAATAAACTGTTAACCGCATATTGCGGATTGTAATTGAACGTAACAATGATCGACATAACTACCATCATGTACCATGTGACCAAACGATCGATCGACCATTATTGAGAAATGGACCTCACAGATCAGATGTATAAATCGCATATTCAGTTCAGCCAGACCGGGCCAGCAGCATTCACTGCCGAAATCATATGTTTTAGAGTTGTATTGCAATAATGTGTGTTTTACTGAATGTTTTGGAGCATTTTTTTTTTTTGTTCGTCTGCGGCCAAATGCTCGACTACCATTACTGATGTTCAATTTAAATTGAGCACTATAAAAAATGAAAACAGCAACAACAACAAAGACATTTAAATTTTTTTGTTTCTTCTCAGGTTGGTGGCCAATTTTCGGTTCGGTACATTTTTAACGTTTGTTTGCTGGTTGCTGTTTTATGGGGGGAATAAACGGGTTTTCATGCCATGTAAACACATGCTAAGGAAAACGATATGCGAAATATCAAAACAAAAACCAACCAACAAAAAAAATTAATATAAAAATATTTGAAAATCATGTCTGACATTATTAACAGTTATCAAAACATTGTTGTTTTGGGAGTTGGTGAAGTGTTTTAAGCGCATTTTATGATATGAGTGAGACTTGTTTTTTGGGGAATAACATCAACAGATGTTCGCTGGGATTTGTTGTTGGATGTCATTTGACTCCAGATATGAAATGCAACAGCAGCATTGTTGATCAAATGATGCCTGTAATCTGTAACGTTAACATCATGTTTGCAAACACTCTGGGCTACGATCATATTTTATTAGCACCACAAAACATGTAGCCAGACACAATAAAACCGCCGCATCGCGGCTATTGCATTTTGGTTTACACTTTGTTTAGTGTTATTACTTAGTGGAGTAGTTAGATAGGCAGAGGAAACCCAACATATGTGCCTGAACGGAAAAGAAAACTTCCTCAGCACTTAAATGCATTTCGTTTTCATGTTTTACTTTCCTTTAAGAAAGCCGATAGTTCAAAAACAAATACCGTCAAAATATAATTAACATGTTAATCAGTATGTTAGCTTGAACACAAAGATATTCAGGCAACGTTAACACCTTGGCCAACAAGCCTGGCAAATTCTCTCATCATGTCATTCTTAGGAGACGGACATAAATCCGCCATGAATGGTGGTGTTCCATTCCTCGTATCGCTCATTGTGGGTTTTTGGCATAAAGTGTTAAAGTGTGATTTGTAGTCTGCAAAATCTTGAAATCTTTTTTTGCATTCAGAATTAAAAATGCAGCATCATTTTGAAGCACGGAGAAGTATATTTTCATTGCTCATGCTATGACCCATTTATGTCAGATTTTTCATATGATCCTAATAAACCTATTGTGATGATATTATTAATATGGTATTTTACGTTTTTCTTCATTAATTCAAGGCTTCATTCAAAAAGAGTGATTAATGTCAGGTATCAATTTCATTGAGAAAAATTAATCATTTTTATTTACATCTGGGAAAAAATATTGGCCACACGGAATTAATTATTCGATTGAGTTTTTTTATTTTGTAAGATTAGCCTCGTTCACACATGATTGTTCTTTTTGCGGAATTTTTATGCTAAATGGCATGTACATTACGGCTTTTTACCCGGTTAACCTTTTTTATGAAGATTTATTTGACGTATATTCAATGATATTGATTATTTAAACTCACGGGGTTAATCAAATTTAGTACAATGTAAATGTACTAGTAGTCTAGTAAATTTTTTTTTTAATGCCAAATATTTATATTATTTTTTTTTTGTACAATAATATTAATTAAAAAATAAATAATAATAAAAAAATATTTCAACTCATAGGCCCCGGCGAGATTCGAACTCACGATCTCCTGTTTACTAGACAGGCGCTTTAACCAACTAAGCCACGGCGCCCTCTTGCTTGCCCAATACACAATGTGCTATGTGAACTCACACATACCCATAACCAAAGTATGCAAGCACACACAACATCGCCTTAGTATTGTTACGTGCCATTCAACTCACTTCTCTCTCATTCTTCTAAACAACAACGCAACAACAATCGCATCAACGATGACGTTTTGTTTACACTCATAAAAAAATGTTAAGTATTTTCATTCGTTTGCCCAACAGTGCCGATGTACTAATTCGTATTATTTATACCATAATACATAATACCAAATATATTGGCACACTGAGTTGCTCTCTATCAAGAGATCTACATATCTCACACCTTTCCACACATTGAGATAGAGAGAGATTATGAATTCTTCCGCAATAACATGACAGCATGCCGCCAACATAATCACCTCTTCTCACTCTTTCCATATTACTGTATAAAATATTTATTTGTTTTTATACACTTATTTTGAGTAAATCTTTTTTGTTTTTATTGTTGTTGTTGTGTATTCTGTTTGTTCCAAGTATGCGCCAGATTATTAAACCAAAGGGAATCTAAACAACAAATCACCTTACATTTCATTGATGATGACGCACAAAAATGATGAATGATTATCGGTATATATACATACAAACATACATATAACATATCTTAAGCGTAAGAAGTACTTGAAAGTAATACGCCAGGCAATCATCATCATTATAACTATTTGGTATTGGGCAATGCATGTCTGGCAATGACAAGCGCCTACCTATTGATGTGTGTGCAAGTGCTGTTACACACAATTGACGCGTTCGCCGCCGCCGCCGCCAAAGGTCCATGTACAACAAAACGTAGGGCGTTTTATGATTATGACGAGTTATTCTAAACACGGCAAATATTTTCAGTGAAATTGAACACGATAAAATGTGTTTTATTTCAATATTTGGCTTTCAAAAAATCTCAGCCAAAAGACGAAAAACATAACAAACATCAAACACACAAACCATCGTTTCAAGTGTGTGTGAATTGAGTGAACCTGTGAAATGATATTGTCGGTTATTAACAATGTGTGAAATTGTTGACCTTTGACACTTGTGTTGTGTTATTGATGAATTGTGTGTTGTGGAATTTTGTTTCTTTCTTTTTTTATTGCATATTTACTTAATATTGGGTTTTATTTGATTGTAAAGTGAATGGGAATTGTGTGGGTTTTTTTTGTATTGAATATCGCGAGGGAAAAAAGAAAGGTTAATGCAAACATAAATTCATACATCAAAATGTGTGTTATTCATGACCTATGCACTTGAATGTTGTTTGACCAAGGAAACAATATTTAACAAATATTGTAAATTTTTTTTATAGAAAGTTAAAATAAATATTTGAGATTTTTTTCTTTATCGTTAGGAGTGCTTGCCTCCTAATCTAAAAAATCTACTCGAAGTGTTAATCTTATTTGGTATTTGTTTAAATATATCGAAAATATGCTATGATAAACAAATTTATCGCGAAAGTGTAAACGTGGTATTACTATAAAATAGTCATATGCTACAAATACGTTTAAATTTAGTTATATAGCGCAATTATGTTCACAGTTTATATGATGTGGATATGCGAAATCCTCAAAATAAATTAAAATTATTTACAACGGGTTTGCAATAATTTTTAATGGCAGCCAGCTGAAACTTGTTAAAATATAAACACATTTGTTTACAAAAAAATGGTAGATTTATTTTAATAAATTTTAATTATTTGTTTGTTAAATTTATTTTATATAAACTCTGTATTAAGAAAGTTCTGGATTTATTTAATTCCCTTATATGTGTGAATTCGAAAAACAACTTTTAGTGTTAATTATTTACAAAAATATTTCCGTCTACACCATTTTACATTACATTATTTATTTGTATTAATAAAAATATTATTTTTCACGCTTTTACAATATTAGAACGATTTAATTTTTTTCAACAGCGACAAAAACAAATAATTTTTCACACTTTCTTCCCAAACACAATGACTACTTTAGATTTTCAATAACAAAAACATTAACTAATAAAGCTCAAAATATTTATTTAAGATTTTTTTACAGTTCATTGATATTAATTTTGTATTATTAATATTATTTTCTTTACAGTTCACTGATAGTTTTTTGATTTTTATTATTATCCATTAAAAATGGGGTTTAATGGAAATTGGTGTTATATTACAACTCTTTAATAAAAATTTCCTCTTCAGTGAAAAA